TTAGTGTGATCTGTTGGCAAGTGACAGAACTGAAACAATTATTCACTAAAGCAAGATTAGATTCACAGATCAGTGTTTCTTCCACCTCTATAGAGAATTTTTAATAATAAAACAGGAAAAGCACTAGGATGCCTCATTTCAGGAAAATACTCTGACTTAAACATCACTGGTTTTGTTTGTTTTTTTGTTCCAATCATTCCTAGCCTCATCTTGGGCTGTGCCCTTTTCCTAACTCAATCACTTTCTCCCAACTTACATTTTCAGATGACTGTTGCCAAAATATACTTCCAGTATCCAGTTACTCTAAAGTGTAGATGGGATTTCTCACCAGGGGGCCACCTTATCTCCACAAGCTGCTTTTAAACAGAGATCAGACTTTATTGAAAGGAGTGAGAGCATCCATGCAGGTCTCTGTTGTGTCTCAAGTCATGCATCATTAATTACAGGAGATTATAATGGAGACATAAATTTGAACTTAGGGAAGGTATAAATATATTTCCACATAAACATATATGTATGTAAAAATACCTTTTAAACATTAAATACTCTTTTCTTTGTCACCCTTTTTCCCTACCACAGTGTCTTGTGAACAGTCAACACATTCTTAAGGTTTACCGCCCACTTATTTCAGGATGGTAGGGAAACTAGTTAGCTTTTAGTCATTTTAACAAAATACTTGAGACAATCAACTTATTAAAAAAAAAAAAAGTTTTACTTTGGCTCACAGTTTGGGAGGTTTCACTCCCTGCTCAGATGTGTGTTGCTTAAGTGTGTGGGAGACAATGTATCATTGCAGGAAACTGCTCACCTCATGGGATCTGGAAAGTGTGAGAAAAACAGGAAGGAGCCTGGGCCCCCAAATCTCCTTCAAGTGCAAACTCCCAGTGACCTAACTAGTGTCCTTCCACTAGTTGAATGTTCCACAATCTACCAATAGCAACATAGGGCGGGGACTAAGTCTTCAACTTTTTGACCTTTGAGGGACATTCAAGATTCAAACCATAGTAGCTACTCAAGACCAATAAACAAACACCAAATAAAAGAGTCTCTCTCTGATGCATATAGAAATGGATTTAAACTTCCAAAGCTGAATCCTGAAATAACTGAATTCCATGTCTTCGTACGCTTAAAATGAGGGACTGAAGATATGAAAAGAATGCAAACTGGATGTCTAGAGCTGAAAACTATTGTGTCTGAGACAAAAAATATACTTTTGGGGACAACTGGCAAATTAGACAGTAGAGAAGGAAAGATTAGAGAACTTGAAGAAATAGCTATGGAAACCATCAAAACTGAAATCCAGTGCGAAAAGACAATAATTAAAAAAAAAATGAGCAGAGTATCAGTGAACTGTGGAAAAAATTCAAGTGACCCACATACATGTTGAATTCAGGTTCCCAGAGAGAAGCCGTGGTAGGAGACAGAAAGAGAAATTTGGATGAATAATGTCTTAAAATTTCCAAATTTGACGAAAGGAGATGGAAGAAGCTCAAAAAACTCCAAAGTACAGGAAAAAAGAGGGGAACATTAACAGGACATATCATAATCAAATTGCTTAAAAACAGTGACAAAAAGAAAATGTTTTGTTTTTAGAACCTAGGATCTCGTTCATGCCAGGCAAGTGCTCTAACACTTGAACCTTGCTCCCAGCCTTCTTATTTGTATGAGATAGGGTCTCACTAATTTTACCTGTGCTGGCCTTGAACTCATGATTCTCCTGCCTCTGCCTCCTGAATAGCTGGGATTATGGGCATGTCCCACCATGCCTGGCTAAAAAGAAAACTCTTTAAAGCATCAAGAGAAAGAAGACACAGTTCAAATAGAGCAACAAAGATACAAACAAGAAGACAGTGAAAGAAAGTACTGAGAGAAAAATAAAGACCTGTCAACTTAGAATTCTTTACTTAGCCAAATAATCAAACAAAAAGGTAACATTTAAAAAATAAAGGTGAAATACAGACTTTCAAAATACAGAAAAGTGAACTGCACTATAGGAAATACACGATTCTTTTAGGGAGAAGTAAAAGAACATCACGCAGAAATCTGTCTATACAAAGGAACAAACTGCTCAGAAATGTGAGTAAACATGTTTATTATTATTTTTTCTTATGTTTAGATCTCTTTAAAAGTTAACTGACAGGCTGGAGGCTCAAGTGGAGCCTGCCTAGCAAGCACAAAGCCTAGTGCTGCCAAAAAAACTCCCCAAAACAAAAAACCACAACCAAACAAAAAACTGACAACTTAAAAAACACTGATGTAATGGCAGTCTTAAAAATGTAAAGTAAAATAGATGACAATAAAAGCAAAAACAGTTCAAGAGGGAAGAAATAGAAGTATACTATCTAAGGTTCTTCAAACTTTTTTTGTAGTGCTGGGATCAAACCCAGGGCTTCCTGCATGCTAGGTAGGTGCTCTACCTCTGAGTTACATTTATAGCCCCAATCTTTTACATGAAGTGGTATAATAGTATATGAAGGAAAACTGATGGATTTAAAGTGTATACTATAAACCCTAAAGCAACCACTAGCATAAAATAATAGCTAATAAGCTAGTAATGAAGATATAGTAATAAAAAAAATCAACCAAAAGAAGACAGAAAAATAGGGAAAAAAAGAAACAAAGGATAGGGAGGAAAAATAAACAAATAGCAGGATGACTGATTTAAATCCAATCATGCCCTTAATCACATTGAATATACACAGGCTACACACATTTATTAAAAGGTAGATTGTTACACTGAATAAAAAAAAGCAAGGCTCAATTGTATGGTGACTACAAGAAATATACTTGATTTACAATGATACAAATAGGTTTAGAAAGGATAGAAAATCAAGTATCACGCTAATACTAATCAAAGGAAAGATGGAGTGACTATGTTACTATCAAACTATATTTCAGAACAATAATACTTCCAGATAAAATGAAGGTAGCTTCACAATGATAAAGTTGTTAGTCAATCAGGAGGACATAATACCAATTGCATCTGATTACAGAGCTGCAAAACCCATGAAGTAAACCTCATGGAACTATATGAAGATACAGACAAATCTGTAAGTATAGTCAGAGATTTCAGTACATTCTCAGTAACTGATCACAGTGGACAGAAATCAGGAAGGATATAAAAGACCTGAGCAACACTATCAAACAACTTGCCTAATTGCATTGGGAAATTTATAGATCATTGAATCCTATTAGGTAAGTGTTACCATTTTTTCCACATACAAGTGAATAAAAGAAGTCACAAAGAAGTTAGCTAACTTGCTGAATGTCACAGTTTTTTAAGTGTCATAGCTGGGCTTTGAACCCATCCTATCTGATTCTGAACTCTAAATCACGGGGGTCCTGGACCTCCCTTGTGCACCTGGAATAGCTCAGGTCTCTTTGACCTGGAATGCAATCCTTTTTAAATAAACAAAGGAATGGACTACTCAAATACCATTTAACATTCTCTAAATACTACTTGAAAGGAAGTATGTGCTCCCTCTCCTCTCATATTCCCACTCAACCCAAATGGCCTGTCTGCTTCCTTTAAGTGACATGACTTATAGGTATCATAAACTCAGGTCCCACAGCTGCTGGTCTGAAAGAGAAGACAGTCGCAGAGTATAAAAGGCTCCAGGGAGCTGGCTCTTCCACAGACTGCCTGCTGTCTGATGGGTGGTCTAACACACATCCAAACGTTCAATCAAGATGCCTATTTGCACTTTGAATGCTTGCATCCAGACAACTTTTCCAGGAAAGAAATACGCTTCTATTAAAATGAAGCAAAGAATCGTTAGCTCATGGCTGACTTTCTTCGCTTACCGTCTTAAATCTGTTATTAGTGCGGTTAATGTATATAATAATTGCAACACGGGAAAACACTGTAGTGTTTTCCAGGCTGAGGCTTCCTTATTTATTGGCAAGAAAATGCCATAGTGGGGGACACCCCACTTTTTAATAGATCTTTTTCTGACACATGCTTGTACAGGAGGAGGTGTGAAATGATTATTCTTCCCCACCCGCTTTACAGAGGATGCGAATGTGAATTTTGATAATGGCATTTAGCAAATCGGGTTTCTTTTTAATTTGAATTTCAATATGTCTCATTCTTTCCCCATTCCCTTCTCCTTCCCCCCTCCCCATCCTTACTTCTTCTATCCAGTGTTGACACCCAACTTCCTTCTCTCAGGGACTCTCCCATGCCTTGTTGTCTCTCCCATTCCCTCCACAGCCCCTTTCTCTTCCTCTTCCTCTTGCTTCTTGCCCCACCCTTCCACAATCCTCCAGGAGATCAAAGAGTGACAGTGTGGCTGCAGCCCCGGGAGCCACTTTTCCAACTCCCCCCTCTTTCTGGCTGGGCTGGAGCATCTTGACTTCTGGGGGGACTTATGAAAGAAGTTGTCCGCAGTAGCGTTGCCCATGGTATAAAAGACAGAACTCTTGGTACTGGTTAGGGCAGTGTCCCTCAGTTTGCCACACATTCTTGAAAGCCCTTGTTTACCCTGGGCTTTTGCAGGTTAGGAGCGGAGCGGGTGATAGCCGAGTTGCCAACCCCGTGCGCGCTCCCTGGACCCTAGAATCCGGAGGAGGGGCAAGGGGGCGTGGCCAGAGCTGCGGAGGGGGGGCAGCAGGCCAATCAGGAGGCGCGGCCGAGCCCCGCTGACCCGCCCCTCGGGCTGGCGAGCAAGTTGCGAGCCTGGAGAGTCGGCGCCCCAGTCGCCGGCCCAGCGGAGAGCAGCGCCCGGGAGCGCGGCGGACCGGGCCGTGCCGCAGGCTCAGAGCTGCCCCGGGGCATGGACCCCGCGCGCTGCCCACCCCGCGCCGCACGCCGCGCCCGGCCCGCGGGCCCCTAGCAGCCCGGAGGACACGCCGAGCCCGCCCGCCCGCGCTCCCGCCGGGACAAAAGCCGCCGCATCCCTGCGCTGCGCTGCGGCGGCGATCGTCCCAGTTGAGTCGCAGCCCCAGACTTTCTGCCCCCTCAACTGCGAGAGTCCGTGCGTTCCTGTTGAGGAGGACGAAGCACGGCGCTTAGACGCTCACGGGGGGAAAAAAGCTAAAAAAAAAAAAACAAAAAACCAAAATGATCTCCCGGGAAGTTGTCCGCACGGTGTTCCTCTCGGCACTGCTGTATGCCTCCCTAGCTCGGGATGCGGGCCCCCAGTCGGAGACCAGCGCAGAGGACATCCCCGAGGGGGCTTCCACCCTGGCTTTTGTGTTCGATGTGACTGGCTCCATGTATGACGATCTGGTTCAGGTTATTGAAGGGGCTTCCAAAATCTTGGAGACGTCTTTGAGAAGACCCAAGAGACCTCTTTTCAACTTTGCCTTGGTGCCTTTCCATGATCCAGGTAAGGGAATAGTTATTCTCTCTGTATTTGTTATGACTCGTGATTATATTCTTGTTTATGCTGGGGAACTGTTTTATTGTCAGAGTTTCAAAGGCATTTAAAAAAAATGTGCAGCTGAATACAGTTGTAACAAAGAATTGCTTGCTGGCTTGCATCTGGGTTTGCTCTCTGATACACCCTTAAGTCTCAGCCTTGGAGCGGATGACTGGTTTAGGGGACTTGAACACTGGTGCCCAAACCTGGAAATGGGACCTTATGAAAACCAGATCCCAGCGTCTTCACAACAACATCAGAGTTAACTGGCTTGTGTTTTAGAGCTAAAGAATGTTTGAGAAGGAAGACTTGACCATGGCATTCAGGAGCAATGCTAACTGAATGTTAGGATGAAAGACATTGAGGATAACTCACATAGAGGGACAGACCTGTTGTGGGACACACAGGGAAGCTTGTAAGTAGTAGCTGGTGGGGGAGAGGGAAAGAGGGGGAGAGGGGCTGAAGGCATGAGAATAAAAGAGGGAAGCAATTCATTTGCTTAACTGAATCATTTCATGTTTGCACCAGGTTGTCATCAGTTAGACTCACGGATGGGTGTAAACACTATGTCCAAGTGCATGTAGTAGACATGCATGTAATTTGGTATGTCTGTGCTCTTTAAAGGTAGTTGAAGCAAAAACTTTATTTCATGCATTAAAGCTATGGGTTTCATAGTGAAACCCTGTAATGTGGTCCTGTTTACTTTTTTTCAGTTTCTCTTTTAAAGTAGCACCTCTCTGTGAGGCTATAGGAGCCCTCATTGTCAGGGCTGAGGGTAGTGTTACAGGGGGAGCCCTGGGGCTTGCTGTCTAGTGTCCATCTGAGTTTCATTTACACAAGTTGCTGCCCAGTTGAAGAAATAAAGCAGGGGTTTCTTAAAAGGCCCCTCCACTGTTCCCCCACATTTTTCCTGGTTTTGAAATTCTTCCTTCACAACAAGAGCATGGTGTTGACAATCTCACATTCTTTCTTTGCACACTTGGCAAATGTCTGAGTTCAAATTATTGCTTGTTATTAAATGTGGTAAGTTTCAGCTATTTAAGAAGATGAGGCTGGGATAAATTTAGAGGGAAACGAACACTGGGATTTGTGTGTTCGTTGAATGACAAGAAGAATAAGCTAGTCTACTCTTCTTGGATGTACACATACATTAGTAATGGCTACATTGATTAAACATTAAACATGAGATGTTCTTGATATTTGAATACAGATCTGGATGGTCCTTTACTGAGATTACTTAGACACCTCAGATGTTATGATGCTTTGACTTATAAAATGTCAAGGTGCCGATTGTGATACAGTTTGAGAATTTTGTTGTTTTGGAAGAGCTTAATTATATTTCTTCTATAGGGATGAATCTGAAGTTGGCTAAAACCTAAAGTAAAAACTTCTTCTAATTAACACACAATTTGCTTGTCTCCAAAAAAGTCTTCTGAAATTATATTGCTGGAAACAAAATACAAAATCTGCTTTAAGTCTTAAGTGGACACTGGGCTATTGTGATATTTTGAAGCACTATGAAAATTGTCACACATTGTGTTGTGGTGTTTTGTCTTCCAGGTGCTACCAAGTGGGAACGTTTTCATGTGGCTGTAGATGTCTTTCCTGTAGCATAGCAGTCAAGATTCAAAGTGGGGGAAACTTAGCATGCTAATAACAGTTGACAAATCAAACCAGAGCATTTTGAATTAAATTATATGAGAAAGTCATTAATTTAAAATGGGTTTACAAAATACATTGTATAGATAACACAATTATTGATTCTATTACTGTTGTGATTCAAAGTAGAGAAGAGTGACCAGGGTTTATGTTATCTATAAGACTTAAAAATATTTTTGAAGCTAGAGAAATGAAAGTTAAAGCATACTATTAACCTTTAACTTAGTATTCACTTTAATGGATTGAATTATTATTTTTATGTTATATTTTCTCTCTGCCTCTTGTGTGTATAATTGTTAAGAGTTTTTGGTTGTCTTGTAGTTGGTGATCAGGTTGGATTGTGAAGGGCATTGGATGGAGATTGCCTATTTTACCTAGTGACATTAGAAAATTACCTTTTTAGCTAATTAGTGTCCTCACATAACAAATAAGAGAACTGAATTTGAACATATCTAAGATCACTTTTAATTATAACATTTTATGATTCTCTGTTTTACATATGGCTGTTTTTCATTAGTCTTAACACATGTTTTTATGGTTGGATGAAACAATTGACATGGGAAGAAGTCGAACTTAATTTAATTAAGTATATTAATGACCTTGAGTGCTTATGTCCTACTGACACCTGCTACCACATTTAGCTAGATGAAATAGGGGATAAATAAGTTCTAGGATGTGGTCTAGGGCTTTTGGAAGAAATCCTTTAGGCCTTTGCAGATGGCTGTTTTGAAGCTGTGAATTGCAGTTTGGGGCAAGGTGTGCGTTTGCAGGGGTGGTGGTGCATTTAAACTACATGGGAGGACATAGACATAGAGAAGGAAGAATGTTTCACATGATGGCAATGAAGTGACAAAACCATTCAGAATATGTACATGTAGGAAGGCAGTGCTGGACAGCTAGTGACAGGGGCGTAGAAGGAGGTGGCCAGAGATCATGGAAAGGGAACCCAGCCTTCTGATGCTAATTAACCAGGATAAAGAAGTTTTCCACTTCCCCAATCATATTTGGTGTATTAATTTCTAACAGCTTTACTCATGCGTAATTCCCTTACTGTACAATTCACCCATTTACAATATATAATTTCAGTGAATTCTACTCTATTCTAAGATAGGTGAAAACATCACCATAGTCAATTTCACGTTCCTCACCTCAAAAAGAAATCTTGTACCCTTTGGCTTTCAGTCCCCTAGCCCCCACTCCCCTACCTCCTATTGTCCTCTGCTCAGCCCTAAGCAACCACTGGTCTGCTTTTCTGTCTTTAGATTTTCCTGTTCTGAACTTTAATATGAGTAGAATCATATCTTTTGTGACTGGCTTCTTTACTTCAATGTAATGTTCTCATGTCATTCATGTTGTAATATGTATCAGTTACATGTTACATTCTTTTTTTATGGTCAAATAATATTCTGTTGTACAATATGCCATGTTTTGCTTATCCATCAGTCTGATGGATATTTGTGTTGTTTCTATCTATTACATATAATGCTGTTACATATCCATGCACAAGTTTTTGTGTCTACATGTTTTCATTTCTCTTGGGTGCATACTTAGTACAGTAATTGCTGGCCATGGTAACTATGTTTAATTGTTGGAACTACCAAACTATATAGTCAAAGCCAATTTATATTCCCATCAGCAATGTATGAAGAGTTCTAGTTTCTCCATATCTTTTTTTTCTTTTTCTTTTACTTTTTTTTTTTTTTTTTGGTACTGAGGCATGAACCTTTCACCTTGCGCCACTCCACCAGCCATTTTTTGTGAAGGGTTTTTTTGAGATAGGTTTTCATGAACTGTTTGCCTGGCTTTGAAATGTGATCCTCCTGATCTCTGCCTCCATAGTAGCTGGGATTACAGGCTTGAGCCACTGGCGTCCAGCTGTCTTTTATCTTCATCAACATGCTATCGTGAAACTTTTGGAATCTTATGTTTTAATTTTTGCTGTGTTTTCGTAGCACTTGTATATTTCCTGCCTTTCTCAGAACACAACTCTGGGGAGGGTCAATAGTTTTTCTTGACATCGGCTCCTTTTGTTATTCTGTGTCTTTATTTTGCCTATTTTTCTCTGGGGAGGGTTGATAGTCTTTCTTGACTTGAGCTCCTTTTGTTATTCTGTGTCTTTATTTTGCCTCTTTTCTGCAAGGTGGATACCAGAGACAAAAAACAAAGAACAGTGTGTGTTTTAATGAGGTGCTTTACAAGAAAGCAATCTTTTCTTCTTTCTTCTCTTTTACTATTATGTGTTCCACTTTCTTCCCTGGATATCTTATACCATTCTGCATCTTCATTCACCCACCTGTTATGTTTTAGGCATTGCTTTAGGCACTGGGGTACAAAAGGGAATAATGAAACAGACAAAAACTACTGTACTCATGGAGTTTACATTCTATTGGAGAAAGGGGGGCACAGGCAATAGAGAAAGTAATTTAAATGCACGTGATATATTTGATAGTGATCATTGCTATGAAACACGGTTTGGAGAGTTTGGCACACATTGAGAGTATTGGAATTTAAAATATAGTGGTTGGAGAAGGTACCAAAAGATAAGATCTCATTTGAATAAAGACTTGAAGGGGGTGAGGGATGGGGAAGTGAGGATTTCTGAGGAAAGACTGTTGTGGAAGGTGAACAGTTAATGAAAGAGCATCCTGATCTGTTCACGAATAGTGAGAAGACCACAGAGTCTGGAACACAGTGAGTTATAGGAAGAAGTTGGGAGCTGAGATCAGAAAGCTGATGGTGCTTTGGCTTTTTACAATAAATGTGACAGGTGGAGATGGAATAAGGCAGCTGGATATATGAGATTAGGGTTCAAGGACAGACATATGAGTGAGAGATATAAATTTGGGATTCAAAGGCATATGTGTAGGTGGCATTTAGGAACATCAGACTAGATGAGACCCCTGAGTGACTGACTGTACATGGGGAAGAGGAAAGTCTGAGGACCGCTTCTGGGACACTTTGATGCTTAGCCAGAGAAATGAGGATCAAGCAGCGGAACAGCCAGAGAAATTGAAGTCAGGGAGGAAGATAGTGTATTATCCTGGAAGGCAAGAGAAGAAAGTTTTCAAGGGAGAAGGCCTAATTGATTAATTAAAAGGAGGATGGAGAATTAGCCAATCATAATTAGCAATGTGGAAGGTCACATGAGTACTTTCATTGAAGAATGATGATGAAAGCCATTGAATTCTCTTGGAGAGAATTCAAGAGAATAGAGAAAAGAAATTGAAAATGTTTGTAACTTTTCCAGCTGCATTCAACTGCTGGATTGGTTGCTTTATTTACGAGGCTAAAATTGATAAATTATTCAACCAGTATTTTTCAAAATGGAAATGTAACATAGTAAAAAAGAATATCCAGTTTGGAATAGAAGGCTATTTTTCTGAATCCGCTTCATTTAACCTTGCTAGACTACTCTTTCTCCAGTTATAGAATTAGTGCATTGGTAGATTTTTATCAATGTCTATGATTTTGTCATACATTGTGAGAGGTAAGTGACTTTAAAGACATCGAAAGTAAAAGGAACTTGATCCATTAAGAGAAATATCAGCATTGTGTGTCTCTGTTTAAAAGTTTCATTGTAATAAAACCTGTGAGCCCTCAGTGACTTTGTTTGGTTCACTGGGACTTGCACCGTGTTGAGGAAACACTCCAGGACTTTTGTAATAAAAAGATTCCCTTGTATATTTTTCTGAGCAATAGCAAAATCATTTGAAAACATGTGGATAGGAAGATTTTTACAAGGGAACTATTGCAGTTCAGACCTTGAAAATGTATGCACATTTATCTGAACTGAACTTCAGATTGAAATGATTTCCATTTCAGTAAGTGGAGGAAACAGCCAAGAAGCTGTTAGTTTTCCTTTGCCTCCAGCACATCCTACAGGAAGAAGGATTTTCATGAGGAAAAGATTTATTTGGTTAGGTCCAAGAGAAAACTAAAATTTAAGTCTGAGTCTTTTTTTTTTTTTACAGTACTAAGGACCAAACTCAGGGATAGACAAGTGCTGTACCACCAAACTGCATCTCCAGAGCCACAGAGAGAGATTTTGATTGGACAGTGATAGCTTTTGTTTCTTAGGATGAAACTGGATGTTTTCTTAGGATATGTAGAGATGTTTTGGTATGCATAATAAGAATTTTAACCCAAAATCTAGGGACTAAGTTTTGGTAAATCAAGTATTTTAGATTTGCTAGAGATACTTCCTGTTTTATAGAATCCTCTATGACTCCCATAGAATGAAGGTGTTTTTTTGTTTTGTTTTTGGTCATATCAAGAGATAATCTTTTAATTTATCATTGATAAGTTGGATGTTTTGGTTTTGTTTATGGGTTGTCTCTGATTAAATACACAATGACAATTGGTGGTCTTTGTAATTTGGTTTACTTTTCCTTCTGACTAGACAGTAAGCTCCTCAGGCAAGAACTGCCTCATTCTTATAGGCTGAGCACACAGTACACATGGAGGAAAAGTTTCATTAATGGATAGATCAATAGAATGCTTGCTGGAGAAAAGAACAGATAATTTCTCTGGTTTTAAAATCTTGCCTTTCATCACTCTGAGTCCTGTTGCTTTTATTTTGTTTTTACAGATAGGGTCTCATGCTTTTGCCCCAGCTGGTCTCAGACTGTGATCCTCCTATTTCTACCTCCCATGTAGCCGGGACTAAAAGTATCAACAACCATACCTGCTTGTTTTGGAGACAGGGTCCTGCTAACTTTTATCTTGGCTAGTCTTGGACCATGCTACTCCTGTCACCATTTCATGAGAAGCTGGGATTACAGGTGTGTACACTGTGCCCAGCCTTTTAAAACCAAAACCTAGTAATTTGCTAATTTGGCCTTTTGGGAGAGAATATAGCTCTCATCATTGAATCTGAAATGGAAGGAAGGATCATTGAGATCCAGACAATGGCCTGGTTTTTGGTTATTGAATGTTTATATAATCAGGTGATTTTTTT